TCCCTCGAAAGTACTTAGATAGGCCTAACTTTCCTTTTTCAGTCCTTTTCCTGATCCTTTACACTTTTCTATCCTTCATCAGGTTGTTACATACAGAGATCATCATAAACACAAATTTCTTATTATTCTTTTTTTCTTTTAGTGATAGAGGGCACACATAAGAGAAAAAGACAGAAAAGAGAAAGCACCCCCCCCCATGGGGCCAGGTCATGCAGTAAGTCTTTTTCCTTCATTTCTCCATGTGGTCAAGATTCAGGGCACCTATGCCCAAAGATTTGAGCAGTCCTGTGGGATCTGGCTCCCTCAGATAGCACTTAACCACTGTGCAATATCCTGATCCCATAAATGTACATTCAATGCCAATTCCATGGCTAGTTCTATTCCTATTTTCAACTGCACAGCAAGACCTTCAACTTGTTTCAGTCCGTAGCCTCATCTCACACCATTCTCCCTTTGTCTGTAACATTCCATCAACTTGGGTCCTCTGTCTCTTTCCTAAGACTTCCAAATGGGCTACTGGCTCTGTCTGGATCACTGCACACTAGCCCCAGCCGCTATTCTTTTTTGTACCTCAACTTAAATGTGAGGTTTCTTTTTTATAGGTTGCATTAAGAACCATCCTTTCCCTTTGTTACATTTATCATTATAATTGAATATTATTCATATGTTTGTTGATGCCTCCCTCACTGCTTGGTAGCAAACTCTATAAGAAAAAACAAGTACATCGTGCTCATTGCTGTATAGTTTTCACCCTATACTAGTGCTCCGTAAATGCCTATTGAATGCAGTGAATCCATTTCACTGGAGTGAGCTCAGCTCCACCTGCTTTAAAAGTCACTTTGCCTCTTCAAATTGACTTTGCACATTTCTACTGTGATGCAATAATGGCTAACTTTATATTTAATTCTCAGAAGGCTATCTTATTTCCCTTATTAAGTCCTTTGTTGTACCTCATTATAACTACCAAGCCTATAACTTCAATATTATCAGTCTTAAATCAGCCAAACTCATTTTTAAATGAAAAAGAATCAACTTTAATGGCAAATGATTAACAGAAATTTCTACAAAACAATGAACAAACTTTTTGCCTATTATTTAAAATTTTTAATATTAAAAGGGGAAAAGGAAGATATCAGATTACTCAATTCCTTTTCATGAAAAATGTAAGCACAATTAGTACTTCATTCCCAGAACGTCACTACACCTTTTATTACTGCAAATACTAGGTCAGGAAAGTCATGATGTATTTTTCCATTTTTTTCTATGCAAAAATGAGGCATGACTTTTCTGACAACCCCATCACTCAGTGAGTTATAAAATATCAGTGATGGGTCAGCTATAGTGTCCTGGAAACCACTCTGAGACCCTTGACAATGCGCAGAGTAGCACTCTCCCATATCACTGAACAGACAAATGGCTGGCCTCTTGCAAGTTCTAACTCACTGCTGTTTGGAAAATGACCAAACTCAGAAGTCTAATGCAGTGCCTGACCTATTGCATGGCTAGGGTCCACTTTAAAACACGCATGCATTGTTTATTTCCTTTAGTTTTGTACTAATTCATTAGGACAAGATCTGTGGAGACCAGGTATAAGCTACCAAGAGAAGTTTCAGCCAGATTTTTATGTGTGAAGTTCATTAGGCAAAGTATAAAAGTTATTTAAGTATATAATGAGATAAGGAGGTGTACAGGCATAAGGAAACTCGGATTCAAAAGACCTTCATTTGACCAGACTATCAAGTCCTGAGCACTTCCAGGCAGGCTCTCTGCTCCCACTGCTACTCTGGATACTAAAAGTAAGGGGAAAGTAGATGTTCATAACCTAAGAAATAACATTTATCGCCATCATTAGTAAAGGGCCAACTATTTTCTTCCTCCCATTCGAAAATACTTTTAATACTCAGAATGTTATTACATAATATTACCTGCAAATTATAGCCTAAACTAATTCTGGCTTTTGTGTACGTTGGATCCAAATGCAACGCTTTCAGGAAGTCTTTCTGTGCTTGCTTGGTGGCTTCATCATGACCATATTCCATGTAAGAATTTCCCCGTCCAACATAAGCATCCAGAAAATGTGAGTTAATTTTAAGAGCCCAGGTAAAAAAATCAACAGCTTCCTCAAACTCTTTAATTCTGGAAATAAATGAAAGTATCGATGCCTTCGGAGGAATTGATGCTTTTTGGTAATACATATAAATGTTTTCTTATATATGACTTTTCCAGAAAAATTTAGATTAACGCTTAAAACTTTTTCTTTTTTTTTTCTTTTTTCAATCTATCATAGGGGGGAAGTACATAAGTCCATATGACCCAAAGGCAGTTCACAGGTTCTTTGAAGATTTCGGTAAAAAGAAAGTGCGGAATTTAGAGCCATTTTCACAGCAGAATGTGCTGAGATGATATTCTGGGATTATATTTTCAAATTATAAGAGTTTGAATTACTACACCTATTTTTAACAGCTATTGATTGTCAGTGTAGAAGAAACACATACTATTATTGATTAAATACACTATTTAAACTAGAGTCATCATACATTCATTTATGTGTATTTAGTATCTTTTTATACAATAAAAGAAAACCAATTTTCATTGCATGGGAGTCCTGACTTCACATCTTCAGTAAAGGCAGCCCATTTCATTGTGCGTACCAGGAGAGGAGGGGGGAAAAGAAGCAGAATGCAGTTTATTATATTTTTTAAAAATTATTTCATTTAGGGACCAGCAGTTAGCATAATGGCTATGTCGCTGGACTCCCACGTAGTCGACTGCAGTTCATGTCCCGGACCCGGTAGCTTAAACTCACGCCAGGTGCATGTGCATGCGTGCCCAAGATCCCAAGAGGAGAATGGAGGAGAAGGGATTGCAGCATGGCCATACCCCCTGCGGGGGAATTTCTCACTTTCTATCTCTCTGTCTCTCTCTGTCTGGTGAGCACATGCACCCTATAGCAAAAATCTATAAAAAAAAAATAATTATTTCATTTAAAATAACTTTTATTTGTTCATAATTTGACTAGAGAGGGACAGAATGTGTGTGTGTGTTTGTGCGAGAGAGAGAAAGAGAGAGGAAGAGAGAAAGTGAGAAAGCAAAGCCACCAGGTCTGGGACTCAAACCACATTAGCCACGTGGGAGTCAAACGCCCTTAATCACCACACCACCTGCCGGCCCCTACAGTTTATTTCTTAACTTGTGAACATATGCGTTAAATGAAATCTCTGTCCTTCCTAAGGACTCTCTTATGGTGGAGATGAGGATGTTGAAGGAATCAAATATTTGTTCACAAGCAAATAATGTCACCTCTCCACTTCACATGCATATCTAATAACTATATTTAGTCTCGATTAACATGGAGGGAGTCTGGAACTCTCCTGTCCTTTCTTTTTTTTTTTTTTAAGATACATTGGGGCCAGCAGATGGTATGGTGGTTGGGGTGCTAGACTCCCACATGGCTGAGTCTCAGACCTAGTGGCTTTCTTTTTCCTTT